CATGCTGAGCATGACGTCGTAAGGAACAGCCCTTTGGTCAGTTGGGGTCCGCTGTCCCAGCCGTGTCCCCTCCCAGCTTCTTGTGCACCCCCAGCCTCCTCGCTGGTGGGGTGGGGTGAGAGGCAGGAAAGGCCTTGACTCTGTGTAAGCCCTGCTCAGCAGTAATGAAAACATCCCTGTGTTATCAATACTGTTTTCAGCACAAATCCAAAACATAGCCCCATGCTAGCTACTATGAAGAAAATTAGCTCTATCCCAGCCAAAACCAGCACACCTAGGAATGTTTGAAAGTCTTATGCCTATGACTAGATTGCCTTTAATTGAAATACTCAGTAGAAGTGAAAGTTCGAAGGTTGTGTTCTAGAAGTTCTTCTGTTGTAAGGTTCAGGTATGTGTATGCACTTGCTTGGTGTGCTTATTGAGCTCTTTATGCTGTAGGCTTATAAACACCCTGTTTCACCATTGACCAGTCTTGCTTCATTGAGCATTATTTCTCCTAATTCATTGTTCAGATGGTGCAGCCTTCTGCACTGTTGCTTGCCAGCCATTCCTTGTCTCCTTTGTTACTGATCAATGCTTTCACCAGCCGCGCTGGTATTTCTGCATTTGATGGAGATAATGGTGTATATGCTTCTGATCAGGAAAATTCCGGCTGTGAATGCAAAGTAGCTGCCATAAATGAGAAACTGGGAAATGGAGATGGGGAAGAAGGAGGAAGGAGAGTCAAAAACTGCTTTTGCTGTTAGGTAATAACTTAAGGGGTGTCCCTCCACTGCCGCCTTCCCTTCCCTGTCACCCATGCCCCAAAATGATCCCATCTTGAAAGGATTCAAGAAGTCTGGCTGCTTGACTTCATACTGTAGGAAGTCTGTGGTTGTAAAAGGGGGAGAGAATACTGCGTTATGTGCTTCATTTCCCCACCTCAGTAAGGGAGGAGGACAGCTGCCCTGCGCTTTCTGGCTCTTCTCTGAATAGATGAAAGCTAGAGATTTGGACCTCATTCAGTATGTAAGTTTAAATCTAGAAATTTAATGGGGAATTGTGAGATTAGTTAATTTTCAGAATTACAGTAACTTAAAGATGCATCCAATAAAACTCTAACTTAGTGTTACCCTAGTAATAGACCCGTAGATGGCCTTTCAGCTTGCTTCCTGCTTCTGTTTAGGGTATTTTGACAACAAACTCGTGAATAGTAAGCCTTTAAATAAAAAAGAACAAACCCACATGACTAATAGGTGGTGGTCTTTCCCTTCTGTTCTATGAAAATATTCTTAAAATTATTGCAGAAACGCAGGACTAGAGAACAAGTAGATTGTAGTAGCTACTGCCAGTTCAACCTGTTTTTCAAGTGAGTAACTGTCCTAAGTTCGCCCGTTACCTAATGTCTTCCCAAAGGCTAATCTTGGAGTAGGACACTTTTGGAGAAGAGTAGGGGAACTGAGAGCAGTGTGAGTAACGTAGCTTACCTGGGTGCTGATATCCAGTCCCAGACCTTTTGAATCTACTACAACCACAGTTAAAATTGTCTGAATCACCAGTGCAACAAAATTGTTGAAGCCAAACATCAAAGCATAACGTTCCATGCTGAGATTGACGGCAATCTGAAACCTGAAAATGAATGTACAGGTTAACTAAACTATGGAGAACATGGATGCTTGCAATTTACTTATGGGAGGAAGTTTGGGAACAATTTAATGTGCACAGTGGATCCTTCACAGGATAAAGCCTCTTCAATATTGGTTATGAAGCCTTAACAGCTTCATTTTGGCAGAAATACCTTCTTTTTCTGGCTTTGGCACTTCTGTGTGTCCTACTTATCTTTTACTTATTTGAGTGGTTATTTCTGCTAAATAAAGACCTGTGTATGTTCATTTGATCATTTGAAGAATACTTGTACACAGATCATTGAACAGCTAAATGCAGAATAAGGTAGTTTCTGACTTGGAGTAGCCAATTGTAATGGTTAGGTCATATAATTTTAAGTGTATTTTTATTATATAAGCTAGAAATAATATGTGCCGCTATCATGACCTATTTAAAAATCTTATTTCTAAGGAAACTTTCAGTAAAATTTTGATGATTTTAAAAATGTGACACTTACTGATTTAAATCAATTTAATTACAACAGTTGTGTATTATACTTACGTTGCTATTGTTATAAGGAGCATATAGCATGCTTTAAACACAAGGTAACCAGCATAACATGCCCAGATGTTGTCAGTAAAGCGCATGAGAAACAGAGAACCAGCATCCATTGCAGAGAAAATTCCCAAAGCCAGTTCTCCAGAAAGATCCCAGTTTACTTTGACATATCCAACTGCCATGGATGTTGCCGAACCTAAAAATTTAAAAGTAATAATTTAAAACTCTGAAACATTATCATTCTTCTAGAGCCATTGCATAACTGTGTAAATGGATCATGCCAGGAGCTCTTGAGACTGTTACAGCCACAATGGGCTTTGAAAATAGTGTGGCTAATGTTTTCTGTTAGTGGTGTGGGAGTCTTCTGTTTGTTTGGGTTTTTTTTTCCCTTGCTTACAGAGCCTTTACAGACTGAAGTACTCTTAGAAAGCGCCTCGTGCCTAAGGCCGGAGGCAGCAGCGTACAGTCTATTGTTGTTACTCTGTTTTTTGACAACTGTGAGCAAAGCGAAGAACAATTCCACCAAGCATTTTCTGTCAAAATATGCATAATGGAGTTTAATTCCTTCACATAAAGATCTTTTATGAAATGAAAAATCTGTTGTGCTCCTTCATGCTTCTGTTTGGTTTGTTTTTTTTTTATAAAAGCATCTTTTTCAGTTTCTGGTGAAAAATCTTATGAACTGCATTTGTCAATGCCTTATTGACCATCACATATAGTAAAAGCCCTTACTTGAGCGTAATATGGTATAACATACTCCAGTGCACCTCTTTTTTTTTTTTTTTCTTATTTCTGCAATAATGATGAGGTTTACTTTTCTCCTCATCTCAATCCTGGAGAAATACTGTCTACTGCTGTAAGAAGGTTATCCAGCTATGGGTTTTTTTTAATGCTCCTTTAGCACAGAGGCTCCTTTACGAAAGCTCTTTGACACACAATATGCTGAGGTTAGTAGCTCAAATATGAAGAGAAGTCTGGTCCAGGCAGGTTATAGAGTGAGTTATCAGAGTCCAGAGAGTACCAGTTGCTCAGGTGTTTTCAGGCAGGCTAGCACACTAGTGCAAAATTGAACTTCATTTGCTGGTTGTATGTGCTCTTCATCAGAATTCAAAAAGCCATAGAAGGCCTACTCCTTTGGTCCACCACTGCTCTAACCAGAGGTTCCTCGTACTGTGAGTGCTTTCTGTCCTCTGAAATAGTATGAAGTGCCAGAGGGTGTAAAAGCAAGAAAACCCTTGGGCATACTGCTCAAACCGGTAGTCTGAGAAGTTTTGGGGTAGCTTCGCTAAAATGCAGTTTCATGCTTGTTGCAGGGGGAAGAGTAAATTGGGAGTTCACAGTAGAAAGGTGAGATAAAGCTCCTGGTAGAAAGGAGGAGACATAGCTGTGTAAATGTGAGCTTAAAAATGAGGCTCCATTGGTACCGCACAGCTATTTAAATGAAGAAGTTGCACTTTACCCATATGCCTTCTGTTCTGTGGCCAAAGAGGAATGTCATTTGGATGGACCAAGTAACTGTAACGAGAATCAGAATGGCTGAGGGTGGAAGACCTATGGAGATCGCCTAGCCCTGCTAAAAGCAGGGTCAACTAGAGCAAGCTGCTCAGGCTGGTGTCCAGGTTTTGAACATCTCCAGGAATGGAGAGTCCACACCACTGGCCAACCTGTTCCAGTGTTAAATCACCCTTACAATAAAGATGTTCTTGTATGTTTAAGTGGACCTTTGTTTAAATTTGTGCCCGTTGCCTCTTGTCCTGTCACTGGGCACCACTGGGAAGAGTCTGGCTCTGTCCTCTTTACTCCTCCCCTTCAAGTATTTATGCACTCTAATAAGAGCCTTTGTTTTCTCAAGGTTGAGCAATTACAGTGCTCTCAGCCTTGCCTTGTGTGTCACATCCAGAGGCAAACTCATGGATCAGGATACAGATGCAGTCACAGAGTATTTGTTCAGGAGCACTCATCCTGAAATGATCTTTAATCCACTGTCTAAACAGACCGTCTAGAGCAGTGTATCTGTTAATATGCTGCTTTTAAATTTTTAAACCACCTAGCTTAAGGTGTATTTGAGGGAGGAACAGGCAAGCTGTCATTGCACAGGGTTTTTTAACTGCTTACTTGGGGTTAAAACATGGTCTAAACAGAGCTGTGAACTTCAAACGCTTTGCTGGAATGAGGCTCCCCTATGAAGGAAAACCTTATATCTATATATTTTTTTAAGATTATTTTTGAAGACCACACTCAAAGTTGTACAGTAAAAACATGCTTTGCACGCTATTTTGGGGGTGTTATATGTTGGAGGCTGTTGCTGTTGACCTTGGAAAAAACCAGAAAGGCACCAAAGACGTGGCTGAAGAATGCCATCAGCACAGGATGGGTTAGAAGTAGTTGCTAATGAGCTTTTACTTACTTACCTAAAAAAGTTGCTATTGCTTCAACAGCTCCATTGTACACTGCAGAGCTGTGAGAGGGGGCTCTGAAGTCCCACAGCACTTGGATATAATTCAGAACCTGGTTAAAGCCTGCTGTAGCCAGAGCCCACCACAGGGACCAGTAGAGAAGTTTCCTAGAGCTGTAGCAGTCCCTCAGGTCCTTGCTCAGCTGCACCAGCACTCTGAGCACATGATTCTGGGGCTTGGCATTATCAGCCTGCTGCTCAGGTGTTGGTCCCCTGTCAGCAGACACGGAGCCCTTGTCCTCTTGGCCGCTCGATGGCCTGTCGGAGTCGCCTGTAGCCACAGCTTTATCTGGTCCTGGGAGAGTTTCTGAGACATCCTTCCTGTGGAAGAACATACTCTTTTGAGGCATCGGGAGGAAAAACGAACACACGAATGCCAGGGACACGGAAGCCAAAGTAATGGCATTGAGGTGAAAGTAGGATACATCTGCTAAGGAAACCAGCAGCTGTCCCAGCACAGCGGCAAGGGTGGCTGCAACAAGAGTGATACTTCTGCAATAGCTCGTCACTCGCTGATAGTGATCGGTGCTGACGACGCTGTAGATGTAGGCGTAGTAGGCGACCTCGGTGGCTGTCACCATCCCGTAGAAGAATTCCACCACCTGCATGGCCACCACTCCGTGTGCGAAGAGGAGCAAGAGCCACGTGACGATGAGGCTGATGCCCTGGAGGAGGAGGACGGGCTTGTAGCGTAGGTAGTCTGTAATCAGGAAGACTGGGAAAAGGAGTGCGAGGTAGGAGTATGTCCAAACCGGGAAAATCTGGTTGGTAACCTAGAAGAGAAGAGGAAATCTCTGTGTTGTCATTCTTGGGGAAAGGAAGTTCATTTATTTTAAATGCCTTTGTAGAGGAATGTTTTTGCTCTGAAGGAATTCATAAAATATATAACCACGCTGAAGCAGCATGAGACTGTTGAGCAGGCAAATGGATCTTAAATCCATTAAATGGATCTTTTATTTATGCCATCTGCTGCAAATTGTAACCTGCCAAAGCTGGTTACAGTTGTGCTTTTTTTTGTTTTTGGTTAAAAACTTTAAACAAAGTTTTACTTTTTTATTTTTGCTGCTCCATGTAAGAGAAAAGGCAGATTAAAACCATACCTCATCTATGGTCAAGTTTTTATCTGGTCCTGTTAGATAGGGTGTTAGGAAAGGTTCTGATGGTTTCATCATGTAGAAGAATCCATAGAGGCAGAGGATCAGGGTGGGGAAAGTCCAGGTGTGGCTCTTCTCTGGCTTCCAGCAGCCCATGGCCTCTGCAGCAAAGCTGAGGAGGAAGTGTGTTAGCAGGATGGTACTGCACATGCAAGCACAAAGATGTCTAGTAATTGATTTTTATTTTGTGGTTTCTAATGCTCAGGAGTGCTCATTAGAGGCTGGCAGTTGGAAAACATTTTTCTTCATAAATTTAAAGTGAACAGCTTTTCCTTACATTTGTCTGCTGTTTCTCTGTCTTTGTAGATAGTCTATAAAGAATGACTTGGAAGGTCTTTAACTGGGAGACAAATTACACTGTCATTCATTCTGCACTGACCAAGCTAACCACAGATAAAGCCTTTCTAGACAAAAGTTGCTGAAGACAGCTGAGCACTGAGTTTTCACTCAGCACCATGACTGATCACAGCCAAGCACCTTGCTGAATGACCAGTAACTAGTCCGCAATTGCTGTTTTTCCTCCTTTGCCTCCTAGATGTGCATGGCTTTCCTGTTACAGAGAGCTGGTAACTCTGGAGCCTAGCAGATGAAAGTCACTAAGAAATACAGAAAGGATGCCAAGCCAGATCCTCGGCTGGAATTAACTGCATCAGAAATCCAGTTTGGGTACAGACATCCTGTTTTCAATCTATAAAAAACATTTGTGGTCATTGCAGGTAATAGTTCACACTAAAATGAAATGAAGCAGATATTTTTGTTCTTGTCTCTAGCTGAGACTTATGGAATAAATTAAACTTGGCAACTCTGCTGGATGGAGCCCAAAGAGAACTCAAAATGGGTGTAATGGGGGGCACACAAAGGAAACAGACAGTAAGTTATACTCCATATTCCTGTTGGTATAGGCAATGTCAGGAACCTAAACGTGTACAATTTATGTTTTGGAGCCTTCTGGAGGGTGCTTGTTACCAGCTGGGATTTCCATCACTCTGCTTTTGACCTTTACCTATTTACCTCCTGAGAACTTTTTTTTTTTTCAGGCAAAAGTTTTAATCTAAAAAATGAAGTATTTTGCAGGCAGTGTTTTTCCTCAAACTTTTTTGTAAAAGCTGAAGAAAGATCTCTTCCAAAACAGCTAAAATATTCATGTACCTGTTGACTGCATCACTCCAGACTGGATGGGCACAGGACCCTCTTATAGGGTATGATATATAATGTATAAGGCAGCAAGCACTATGCATCTTCTTTTCTAACTTCACATCACGATAGCACATTTTACTAATGGTCTGATGCACTAAGAAATGCGTGCAGATCAAAGGGAATTTGAATTATTTCATTTTATGCATAACGGCTGAAATCATTGGCATTACAGGATTTACAACAGAAATTAACTTAGCTCTGTGTCAGCTCTGTAGTGTGAACCACTAGAGGGCAAGATGACCCCAGCAAAGGAAAAATGTGCATGGGAGGAATGTGAGACACATTAAGAATGCTCAAGAAAAGAAGTATTTCTGCCCCTCATTCCTCCCCAGTTGTTGTGATAGCTTCTGCTGCAGGCATGGCTTTGGCAGCACTGACCAGTTTTGGCCCTGCCCAGGATCACACTTAGTCACCAGAACATCCCCTTGCTCTCCTTTCACATCGTAATCATTAAAGTGTTACAGCACCCTAATGCCATGTGAACACCTCATGTGGTACCGAGAGGTTCTGAGAAAGGCATCGAGAAGAGGAGGGATGAAGAGCATCTCTAGCATTGTAATGTACAAGTCAGCTCTGTGACTTAGCCAGGTTATATTTTTCACTTGTCGGCCTAGATTCTTTGCCCCAGTCTGTGTCAGGTCTTGCCATGTTTGCTCTCCCCCTGGCAGGTTGCGTGACGCAAAGGCAGCAGGTCTCATGGATCCTTTCAAAACGTCCCACACCTTGGGAGGTGAGTGGGACAAGCTGCTGTATTCCCAGGGCTCGCAGGGTGCTGTGTGCTGCACCTCTGATGCTGCCCATTTGTGGCATGGCTGTCCCATCATGTGCAGTAATTTCAGTTTTGAGCTATATAGAGAAGGACTTTAGATGTGCCCTGGTCACTGCATCCCTCCAGTCCCAGCACATGCACTGTTTGGGGTTTTCTGCTAGACATGTACCCCTTTTCTGTAGGGGTATCAACGAGTAAACATGCTTTGAGGCACCTGTGTTAGGCTGGCAGATAAGTCAGATGAGAAGTTTCCCACCTGGTTTAAGCAGCTGTGCAGGAAAAACCTGCCACTGGTGCTGAGCTGGGAAATGCAGTGGGCTGAGGGCTTGCAGAGCCAGCCTGCTCTGCCCTTGGCGAGCGGGAGGTGGGTGCTGCTCTGTCCGCAGCGGGGTGTGTGCTTGCCTCACACCCCAGCCCTTTCCTGTTGGTGAAGGGCTCTGCTGCAGCCCCAGCTCAGCTCTGTGGCTGCTGGTATAATTGCTCCTTTTTGCATTCATAACCACAAACCTCTGACAACGAGATCTGTACCTTGGTGCTTAAGGGGGAGGGATCCAACTTGTTCCCATTCAGTCACCCCTTACGGTCAATTTGTCTTTTATACCTCTAGGGTTTTTCTTAACTTTTGGAGAGATGGTGGGATGCCTTAGTGTCATTCTCAAGCAAAATCTCCTCTGTTTCTTGCTTCCCCCATCAATTCTTGGTTAGTGCCAGAACCGTCAGCTCTTCTGCCCAGCCTGACCCAGCCCCCCAGTTCCCCACCAGACTGCTCTCCTCTTTTCTCCTTTTGAATTTCTGGTTTCTGAAGTTCATATATAATCTTACCTTGTCTGCTGGAGCTCTCCCTTTTTTACTTCCAAGGGAAAGGTCCCCTTTGAGTATCTCTGGTCTTTCTTCTGGCTGTCCTGTGGGTGTTGCAGCTACTGGACTCTATTTGGGTTTTGTGCTTTTCCTGTTCTTCTGGTATTTCAGCTTGCTCTGATGACACCTCCTTTGAAAACATTTCCAGCTGGCTTTCTTTCAGCATCCACTTTCAGCACCCTTAAAGGAACAGCCAGATAATCCTGGCCTGTCCTTGCCCAAAGGCAGCAGTAGATCAAGACCCAAACTACGGGTTTGGTGCTTCACTGGCACAAAAGCAATAGAACTAATCCTGTTCTTAAAGAATTTTGGGTATGTGGCTTGGGACCCACCGGTGCCTGGAACTCGTTGATATATAAGACAGAGCAGTAGCTATGCATGGGTAATGACAGAGATGAGGGAGAACAAATAACCGTGTTATAAGGTTTAAATGCTTCCTCACTGAATACATGGGGTTTCATACTATTCTAGCAGGCTTAAAAAGTAAAACAGTCCGCTCTGCTTCCCCTTGACTGTTGTTTGTTAGCAAGTTTCTCAGATCTTTTGCTCAGGCAGGTTCTTACAGTTCTACTGAAGATGGAGATGGCCCTATAGTCATCTTCAGAAGAACCTGCGGGACTCACAACAGCAAAGGATGCTATCATCTGAAATGTACAGATTTGCACAAAAAGTATGTACCTGAGAATCTAGATCCACACCCACCCCAGTCCTACCACATATAGGTCTGGAATGAAGGACATAGTAATTAGGAATGTGACCAATACAGTAAGAAAATGATAAATTTGTAAATAACAGTGAATTATCCAACAATTTCAGAGGAAGGCAGGTTCTTAGTTCATATACAGTAAAATGGTACAGTAACTGTAGAACAGGGAGATATGCATGAATAAGAAAAGCATATGAAATTCCCTGCTGGGTCAGATGAGTTGCCCAGCTAGGCCAGTATTTTGCAGTCATCCTTGGCCACATTTTGCAGCCTTTTCACCTCCTACTCCTCAGCACTGAAAGTTATGGGATTAGTGATGATAGAGGTGCCATTCCTGCCTATTGCCTTTATCATTTGTTTGTTGACCTGTTGTCCATGAATCCGTCTAATCCTGCCTGGGACACTGCTGTATATTCGTGTGACGTTTTGTGATGTATGTGAAACTAATGTGTGAAGCGGACGTAATAATTCCTTTTGGCGCTTTCGCAGTTGTCAGTCACTGTCTGACACTGATTCCAGAGTTATTTTGGTTCTACTTCACTGCATATTTAATTGAACCTATAGCTATAGGAGGTGACAGCCCATCTGAGAGGAGACTGTATACCTGCATTCAATTCTGTTCTCAAGGCCTCTTGCTAAAATGCAGAGAACTTCTGTTGATGTGAATAGCATTACCCTGGGTTTGCATTGTCTTAACTGAGGTAAGAATCCAACTCAAATTTCTCAGCACTGAAAAAAACCCCCAAACTATGTTTTTCCTGTAATGTAATAATGAGAAAGAATGATTTAAGTAACTTCCAGTTATTGATGTTTGGTTTTTTCTGCTTTCAGACCGTCTTTTCTCCTCTATAGCTGTTCTTTCCACACTTTTTAGTCCATCTCTTTTGTACCTAAAATTTCATCCTTTTTCACTGATTCACATCCGAATGCCAAATGGCAGACAGTAAAACTATGAGGGCTTATGCAAATTTTTGGTCAACTTGAGCTCTGTGTCATAAGCTGCCTGCAGCAGAGCTTAGTTGCTGGGTTTGAAGGGGACCATGCTCTTTAGGCTGAGTTTGAATGTAGTCTGGTTGGAAGCAGAAGTGTTCTGCTTGGAGGGTGGGCTAGGAGATCTGCTTATAGTTGGGATCCCAATTCTGTTCAGGTGGGAAAGGGAAGACTCTGTAAGACCTGGAGAAAAGGTGAGTTTTGTAGTAGTGTATCCTAAAGAGTTAATGCAATATGGTCTCTAATGTATCAAGGAGACAGGAAAATTCTGAGGAGAAAAGGGAAAGTAAAGGCAGTAAGAGAACAAGACTGCAAACCTCTGTCACCCTGGTACCTTCTCCTGCCTCTGCTGCCGCTTAGGCTCGATCCTGGTATTATCTCTGGTGCTTCACAGGATGGCACCAAGGCTGAGAGCCTCACCCCAGCTGTGTGAGGTACGTCTCTCTCTCAAACTGTCTGGTTGGGTGTTGACTTTAGCACTGACTTTCAGCTCTCAAATCACATCTGTTTCTTGACACCTGCCTAACTCAGAAGAAGAGACTTTGCAAATCAGATTGAAGGCTTATACTTCTTGAAGAATGTGTACTGTACTCCCTTAAAGAAAGAGTGATAGCAAAGAAAATGTACTGTGGCTAATACTGGAGATTTTTCTCAATTAGTGATTGTCCTGGTGTCAGGTGGGATAGAGTTAATCTTCTTCCTAATAGCTGGTATAGTGCTGTGTTTTGGATTTAGGATGAGAATAATGTTGATAACACACTGATGTTTTAGTTGTTGCTAAGCAGTGCTTACACCAGTCAAGGACTTTTCAGCTTCCCATGCTCTGCCCGGTGCACAAGAAACTGGGAGGGGGCAGAGCCAGGGGGGCTGACCCAGACTGGCCAAGGGGCTATGCCGTACTGTATGGCGTCATGCTCAGCATATAAACTGGGGAGTTGGCTGGGAGAGGAGAGACCGCTGCTCAGGGACTGGCTGGGCATCGGTCAGTTGGTGGTGAGCAATTGCATTGTGCATCACTTGCTTTGTATACTATTATTATTATTACTACTATTTTACTTTATTTCAATTACTAAACTGTTCTTATCTCAACCCATGAGTTTTCTCGCTTTTACTCTTCTGATTCTCTCCCCCATCCCACCAGGGAGGGGGGAGTGAGCGAGCGGCTGTGTGCTGCCTAGTTGCTGGCTGGGGTTAAACCACAACAGTGGTCAAATACAGTCAATGCACAGAAAGGTTGTAATGGCAGTTATGAAGATTAAACTGCCTCTTTGTTGGATTCCTAAGACCCAGGAGTATTCACGGGGCAAATTCACTTTTGATTTATGGATGAGCAGATCTTAATCTTTTCTCGTGCACTACATGCCCATTTTGGGAACGAGCTGCCATTTGCAGTCTGAGCCTGAACCCTGTGGTGCATGGGTGAGGGTTTCTATAACTCACCTCTCAGCTGAATCTCACGCAAGGTCCCCAAGGCAGGGAGACATTCACATGCTGGGCTCAAATGCTTTTCATCTGAGACTACTAAATGCTTATGCAAAGTCTAGTTTAGAAAATTTAACTAGAAAGTACTAAGTGCATTACTCCGAGGGGTAAGTTAGAGAATACGTTCAACCAAACTAATATTTCAGGGACTTAGTTTAAATGTAGACTTACGAGTACTTCCTTACTAAAAAGTAATGACATAACCTTATTTTTCACTACGCTGCTACTTACACAAGGCTAATGCCCTTCCTTTTTATCCAGTCACTCTTAGCCATGTCACTAGAGTGTGCAGTGCCATTTGCACAGGGCAGGGTAGTGGCTGCTAGTAGCAGTGCAGGATCTGGAACTAACAACTGTGTCATTAATCACCACTCTGGGACATTTTGAGGGAGCCAATTCTTTTTTCTTATAGGCAACATTTTAGTAGTGGCACACTTGGATGTTTGCATAGGTAAGGTCTGGAGCTCTTGTTATAATGTGCTACCAACAGAGCATGGATCATGTAGAGGTTTTGTGATGAGTTTATAAAGACCAGTTGAACCTACTTTGCTTGCAGAACCATGCTTTATGTCCCCTTTTGTACACTGCTAACTTTGGCCAGTGCTGGGTTGAAAGGAGTGCTTTACCCTCTTAATCTCCTGTTGTTGGCCAGAGAAAGTTAACTTCAACATCTTTAGCTTTCTGCAATATAAGTCACTGGCTGGATTTTCTCCTCTTTTTGTTTACAGTTTCATTGTTGAATTAAATGTACGTGATGGGCCAACACCTCCATAGTTGTGAGAGGCTGGGGAAGCAGCATCCAGTTTACACTGGGTGTCCCCTTGGGAGCATTGCCAAGACTTTACGGGGACGTATGGCATCCCTATTTACATCCCAGTGACATGCATTGCAGCGCTCTGATTTGTTCCATGTCTCTTGTGAAAACCTGCCAGAGACTTTGGTAGGTTCCAAATAAAGGTGTTTCTCATTGTCTGAGGACTAGGTTTGTTAGTTGAGCAAGATCCCCCTTTTACTTTCGCACTCTGATTGGCACAAAGCACACTCTGGTCTCCCAGCTGAGCGATGCAAAGCAGCATGGTCCAGAGGAGCCACAGAGCTGAGCCAGGAAACAGTCCAGCATGTGGAGGTATCTGCTGATACTGTTCTACCACAAAATTCATTGTTCAAACTGAAGCTGTTTGTGAGATTTGTGGTATCTTCCTCTTTGATTTATAGGTCTGAGAATGCTGGGATATTAAATTTTAACATTTTCAACCTTGATTTTTATGGTTCAAAACTACTTTTGAACAACAACAACAAAAAAAAAATCAAGCAAGTGAGTTCAATAGATGATAAAATTTCCAGGATTGAGCAGACAAATAATATCTGACATATGGTCTTCCTCTTGGCATCAGGGTATATTTTAGCTCTAACAGACGAATTTATTTCTGTTGCAATTGTACCAAGAGCAAAATACTGTCTTGAAACTTTTAAAACGGAGAGCTGAAAGCCAAAGATAATGTGATGCAAAGTTTACTGGAAGTTGGAGAAAGTCTTCCTGTTGCATTCAATGAATGTTACAGCACGGCAGAAAGGCTTACAGAAGAAAAGGTTACACCTTAAGTAGTTCCTTTTGTTTTCCTTACATTTTCCTTCCAGATCATCAGCGGAGGACAGGAACTACTACTTTGTCAGTGGGATTCTCTGGGGATTTTCCTTTTATTTAAAATTTTGTGGTGGTTGCTGTAGGTCCACAACTGACTTTTGTGCAAGTGCTGGCTGTGGGTGGGTGTACTGGGCTCTGGTTTCCCTCTGCCC